CCCCAAAACCCCAAAACCCCTTAAATACGAATGATATAAAATATGGGAAACATCTATTTCAAAATTATTAAAATTGATGAGTTATTAAACATGTGATTTTAATGCTCAATTAGACTAGTTAATTCAATGATCGGTGAATGAACTCTGGGGAGTCTTTAGCTATTGGCAAGCACATTATGTATGAGCCGATCTCTGCTCTGACGATTTCTCAGTTTCGAATTGTTTTTAACATTTATCTCCTTTGTAAGCTTCCTAAGCTTTCTTGAATTAGGTATTAAGAGCTTTTAAAACTTTAATTTTTCCTTAGGTCCCTTTCTTTTTCTCTGCTTATTCTTATTAAATTATTTAATCAATATATTTTTTACAAGAATCAAAATAACATGCTCCGATGGCCATCTTATTTTGCTTTTTACTGAATTCCTTATTACCTATTTAAAATAGAAAGTCTTTTTTAACTTCCTAAGATTTTGCAAAGTTTAAGTTTTCATTCTATTCAAATTAGGATTTTGATGGATTTATATAGGAATTTTCTATTTTAACCCCCTCACTCATAATCAATGGTTCAGTTTTATTATCTTTAGTTTTGCATTAATTAAGGTTAGAAATATTGTTGTGCCTTAAACCATTGTTAACTTATTATACAGGTTATGCGTTCGGTTAGGGAATTTCATCATTTTGTTAATGTTTATAAAAATCTTAGTTTGGCTTAGTTTGATTATTATTAACTTCGAATTATTACTCATCTTACCTATTAGTCTCATTGATCTAAAAACCTGTTAAAATTTAAGATTATTTTGCTTGTTCGATTCTCTCAATTCTATTTTACTCTTCTGAAATTTCTTTCATTTTAACAAGACTTTTTCTTGGTAAAAGTTAAATCTTTTACTTCATAAAGATATCAAAACTTTACCATCCAATATCCCAGTACATTTTAGCTATTTAAATATTACCAGATTTGTTATTTTTATATAAGGCAGAATTATTAAATTTAAGATACCATGGCTCTTTAATTTGAGGGATTAAATCTTAAAATATAGAATTTGATAATGGTTTTTAAAATGTGTTTTCATTTTCGTTGCTTTCACCATGATATTTCAAAGCCTCAACAACTTAAGGTTCACCGCCATCACAAAAGGTTATCAAGCAGATGAAATTCTCAGCTATATCCCTTCCATAAATTTTAAGAATCTACTAGAAAATGTATGTTTGATTTGGGGTTAATCTTGCATTAGTTGCTTATGCTACAAAACAAATGGCATTAATTGAGTCAAGTTTATCAGCTAAGAAATTTCTGATTTAATCTGATATAATTTAGTCTTGCTGAATGCCTCCATTATCTCCAAAACCAGGAGTATCTACTAATATTATAGGTGGGAAACCTTCTTGATGGGATTTAACATAATATACATTAACATCTCTAGTCTAACTCATAGACTAGGCTTTTCCAGTTTACTCATTTACTAAAATGTATCTAAAGTTGTCAGAAAATTAAACCCCAGTGAGATAGTTTATGAAAGAATTTAGGAGAGTAGATTTACCTGATCCTGTTTATCCAACAACCATTATTACCTTTGCTTGAGCTTCTTCATAAGCAGAAAAGGGTGAAGCTTTTATTAGAAGATTTTGAATTTCATTTTATGTTAGACCTTTTAAAACTGCTTCATTATTTATCTTATCTTTTTCGATTTTTAACCAATCTGGATAGAGATAAAGTTCCAATTCATTTGCTCTTTTCAATAATGTTGAATTTTCTAATGGTAAATTTTTAACTTGCTTGTCATTGGTTACAAACATGCCATCAATGTTTTAATTATCAGAGGAAATGAGATTAATTACATTTATAGCTTTAAAAATTTCGCCATGTTTAATTTGATTTTCATCCACCAAGTCAATAGGAAAGTTATCAAATTAAAATCTAATTGCATCTTGAAGCAAGAGTTTTGAACGGATCTCAGTTAGCGTATTATTACTATGAAATAGCTCATTCTTGTATAGCTATCCATTATAAAAGAATTAGGTTTAAACAGCCTATTATTCCATGAACCAGTCTTATATTGAACAAATTATTGATCAAAAATAAAGATTTTAATTATAATATTCAATCAATTTTACTCGGGTCTATATATGAAAACAATAAAATTCTTATTTTTTAAAAAAACATTCTAAATACGAATTTAATTTGATAAAAGCGGGGTTTTGGGGTTTTGGGG